CATTCAGGTCGCAAAACCGCGCCAAAGAGTTAAGAATGTGCTTGAAGCTGCAGGTGCCCCTCGATCCACACCCGTGCTATGCGTTGATGAATTCCAGTCCAGTCCTTATCCCTCACTTTCGTCCTCCTCAATAAACGCTGCTGTGCAATGTGTGTGCGTATTTTGAAAGCAGATTCTCTGTAGCTGAATCTTTATATCTTAGTAGCTAATGCGAAAAGTAGTTGACCTGAAATAGTACCGTTGGCTAGGTCATGGAAGGCTAGATGCTTTACGGTCTTCACTGTATTGGTTGCGTGTCGATCGATGCAAAATAGGCATCTGAAGGATCAGATTCGTCAAACTTTTACCACTTTCTCCTTTAAATTATATGTACATTGATCTGATGCAGTAAAGTTTGCCTAGCCGGAACCTGGATATGTGGGAATCCAACATAAACGAATGTGTTGAGGCAACGATAAGGTCATTCTTTGTGTAATAGGTTGAATGTTTATCTTTGCCCATATTTTACGATCCATGAGGGGTCTAACTAATCACCTATGATGGCTGATTCAGTGAAACTTGCTGTCGAAAATCTGCATTACAACGGCTCTGTGAGATGCAAATACACAGAAACCAGTTACTCACAATTTTGCAAAATGGATAATACGTTATCTCAGAAGGAAGAGAAGTTAAGGCACATTGCAGGTGATTGCTAGTGGCCCCAACACTAATGGAGAATTGTTCTACTAGGGAGATAATTGTTGTGCTGCGCAGACTCTTGTGAATACATGAGCTTTTGCCTTTACCTTCGCATTCACTTGCATCGTAATCTCCTGCTCCTGTTTCTGCCAAGGATCTGTTGATCTATCTCCTTACTAAGATTTTAACTGCCTCATACAGGGTACCACTAAATTTAGACTACCACAAGTCTATCCCCCAATCCTGTCATTGCATTGTCCTGTTTGATGGAATCGTTTCGTGTTTACACCGAACTGTCTCCATCTGCCGTGAAACTGTCATTTCGAAGCTTTACCTTACCCACTGTGCCGCTATTCAGTTTTTGTTCATCAATCATCTTGATCAAGCCTTATTCTAATTGGTTTTTTTGCTCTTAACAAGAGCAAGCTTTACACTGGCAGTCTAAGAGAGACTTTAATGCCCTTTCTGCATACAACTTAGCTTACGAAGTAGTAGTATACTGCTTTGGCATAGCAATTAGCTGACTCACATCTGCCTGGCAGAAACAAATATAGTCTTTCTTACATACTTGTCAGTCAGTCATGCAGAAGAGCACGAGAAACCGACTCCCTGTTTAATTATTTCTTGTAATGGATGCAGTTTTGTGAGGCTTCCTGGACTTCAAATAATTGTCATAGAATACGTTCCCGCGGCCCGGAATGCTGTCCACCTAATTCACACAGCTTCTCTCGCTATGTGTTAGTTGTCTTTTTCCTTCCCTTTTTGTCCTACAGTGCACGCTTGAATTATGCTAGGGGTGGCCCATTGCCATGCTTATATGCTTTCTCTCATGTGGAACTCCTAGATGCGTTAGAAGTTATATGAAAGGAGCCAAAATTTTTGGGAAGCCGTAGTTAGAGTGCTTTACAAATTAATAAGAAGGAAAGGTTTAGTGTAAAACATTAGGTCGCTACTGATTCATTTATGTCCCGAGTTCTACACTTGTTTGAGATTTTACACTTTTCCCTCTTACGGCATTCCTCTTCTAAAATTCATCTTTTAATATATTTTTGGTGCGTCCCAAATAAAACTATTTTTTAAATAGCGGTTGGTTTAGAAAAAATCATTTCTCCAGATCTCACTGACATCTGACTTACCCTCTTCTGCCTCTGTAGTGCATATTATCCCTGTATAATTTATAAGATTTTACGTGGGAATAATATTCCCCATTTAGGAAAAACTTCATTATTCGCACTGGCTGATCAAAAGTGCAATTCAATTGCACATTTTTTGGAGTCACGGTGGTGATTTATGCCTTCGCTTTTTCTTCCTAACGTAAGCAGAATATATGGCAGTTTGTGTGCAGTGCTGTTCAATTGACCTTGATGTCTTCTGGTAATAAATAATGCAAAATCCTTTATAAGATAAAGACCCAATGGTTGATTGCCAATTAGTGGGCTTTTTTTCTCATACATTGGCTCTTAAAATGAATTGCGGGTAAGAAAGTGGGGCAGCATAAACATGCTGACGTTAATTCATTCTACGCTAGTCAGCAGGAAGATATGCAGCGAGAGCAGCACCTGCCATCCTCTTAGATGACCACAATTTAGTTTAACCGATCTACATTCAATTCTACCATTTGTAAATTG